CGTCGCCTGTAAACCCAAGGCATGCTGGAATATTCCACGAGGGCCACAGCCATGTCCACTTGGCCCACGACAGAAAGGCTGGAACACAACATGGTCTGCACAGAGCAGTCACTCACGTGAGCACCTACTGACTCCACCATGGAGACTGAGTGGAGGGTGCCCCAGTCCCTCTGACCTTTGCCCCCATGGCCCTGCCTTTGTCTGGTCGGCTCGTCCTGTGAGCCCTGACTTGAAGCCGCTGGGCTGGTGACGCATTCCTCCTGAGCTCTGATTCCCACCCCAAGTCTTCACCGCTTTCTTCCCAACCTAGTCCTGAGACGCCCGAAGGCAAGTCAACGTCTCATCTCTATTCTCAGGGCAGAGCGAGTGCCAGTCAACTGGGGAAGAGGCAGGCGGGCTGATGGAGGAAGGGAGGGAAGGACTGACAGGTGAGGAGAGGAGGAGCGAGGGCTACTGGGTGGAGGGAGCTGGGACGGGGAGGACCCAGGAGGGCGGTTGGCAAGATGTGGCAGAGGTGGGCCCTGCCCCCACCTGGCCCCCCACGAGCTCAGCTGTGTCCTCGATGCCTGGTGGGAGCTCCTTCTTCGGGCTGCTGTGGTGCCTCTCGGCCTCCTTGACCTGGACCAGCTGCTCGCCCAAGGCTTCCTTCTGGAGCAGCAGCTTCTGGGCCTGGCCCGTCTGCACCCCCAGCTCCTTCTCCAGGGCCAGGATCACGCGGTCCTTCCCTTTGATCTCCTCCATCTGGGGGTGAGAGCGAGCAGGTCACCTGGACTTGCGGCCAGCAGAGAGGAAGGCCGCCCCTGGGTTGGGTCCACTGACCTCTGCACACACCCCTTACACCTGCCCGGCACAAGGTATTGGGACCAAGCTGAGCGCTCTGGGTCCCACAAGGTCTTTTCCTTCGAATGTGCCCCTCGGGCCCCTCACACCTGGCTACCATTGCCCATCTCCTCACCTCCAAGAAAGAGCATCAGTACCTGACCCTGGAGCTGGGACTGCTGGACCCCAATCCCTCACACGGTTGGTTCTCCGGCTCCCCTGTCTCAGCCCCCTGGGCACAGCCCCCAGCCACACCAATTAGCTCTGGCAAAGCTCACCTCACCTGTCCCTGCTGCCCTGGATGTCAGCCATCCCTGGCCTCTGGCCCCGCCCACTCATGTCAGAGATCTCTGTCACTTCAAGGACTTCTGTCTCTCCCTTCCTGAGAGCCTCACCTGCTCTGGCTTCTATGGAAGTCCAAGCCTGGCCTTGGCTCACACTGCCCTTCCCAGGTGCCGCCTATGGCTTTGTCTGTGTTTGCCATTCCCCAGTGCCTTCCTAAGGTTCTCTCTCCCCTGCCCCAGCCTCACCCCTGTTCTGTCCCCTTTGTCCCTGGTCCATCTTCCCTGTTCTGGGCCCCTCCTATCCTGACCCTGTCCTTTCCTTCAGCAGATGTTGTCTCTGCCCCATGCTCTGTTTCCCTCACCCCTGTTCCGTACCTCCTCCTGTGCTCCACCTGTCTCCCCTCCCCCACTCCTCGCCCAAGCTGGCCCCTCCACTTTCTCGGGCAAATTGACGTCCCCACCCTGACTTGAATGATGCAAGAAGCATCCAAAAAAGCTGGAAAGAAGACACAGAGTCACTGTACCAAAAAGAGCTGGCCAACGTCCACTATTTCAGGAGGGAGCATGTGAGCGAGACCCGATAGTGCTGGAGGAAGAGGTCTAAGCTGCACTGAAAGCATCAGCCAAAACAAGGCTCCAGGAACTACTGGGATACTAATGGAACCACCCAGCAAGCTGACGGAGCACTGGAAGCACTCCCTCGTCACTGCCAGGGAATGTGGAAGACAGCGCCTCAGCCAACTGACTGGCAGAGACCCGTATCAGTGCCCGTTCCAAAGAAAGGTGACCCAATGGCATGCTCAGACTACAGAGCAATATTACTAATATCACATTCAAGTAAAAGGTTGCTGAAGATCATCCAACAGTGGTTGTCGCAGTTACATTGACCGAGGTTCAGGCCGGGGTCAGAAGAGGACGTGGAACCTAGGACATCATTGCTGACCTCAGACGGATCCTGGCTGACAGCAGAGAATTCCAGAAAGATGTTGACTTGTGTTTTATTGCATGCCAAGACTTTGACTGTGTGGGTCATAACAGACTGTGGGTAACCTTGAGAAAAAGGGAATTCCAGAACACTCCACTGTGTTCATGCAAAAGTTGTGCATGGATCAAGAGTCAGCATGTGAACAGAACAAGGGAATACTGCCTGGTTTCAAATCAGGAAATGTGAGTCAGGGTCCTATCCTCTCACCACTATTTATTCAGTCTGTGTGCTGAGCAGATCATCAGAGAGGGTGGGTTATACAAAGAAGAGTGTGGCCGCAAGATCGAAGAGAGCTTATGAACAGCCTGCAGTATGTGACCTTGCTTGTTGACAGTGAGGGGCATGAAGCGCCGATGCATGAAAGCCACGGATTGCGGCCTTCAGCGTGGAGTGCAGCTCAATGTACAGACCCAACTCCTCACACCTAGATCAATGGGCGAACGTCATGATCACGGGGGAACACTGAAGTCGCCAAGGATCTCTTCTTGCTTGGCCCCACAATCAATGCTCGCGGAAGCCGCAGGCGAGTGATCACAAGACGTGTTGCATGAAGTCTGCTGCACTCAACCAACCTCTTTAGAGCACTGAAGAGCACGGATGTTACTCTGAGGACTCTCCATGGCCTCACATACATGTGACAGTTGGACATCGAATGTGGAAGACCGTAGAAGAATTGGTGCATTTGAACGGAGGTGCTGGAGAAGAATATTGAAAGTACCATGGACTGCTAAAAGGACAAACAGATCTGCACTGGAAGAAGTACAGCCAGCGATGCTCCTTAGAGGCAAGGATGGGGCACTTGGTCTCATATACTCTGAACATGCTGTCAGGAAAGATCAATTCCTGGAGAAGGTCATCATGCTTGGTATGGTGGAGGGGCAGAGAAAAAGAGGAAGCCCCTCATGAGATGGACGGACCCGTGGATGCACCTACAGTGAGTGTGGCATCACCACACACACACGTCGTCCACATGAGTGTGCCTCCCTGCCACCTTAGCAGTGCCATTCCTACTCAGGCACCGCCTGCCACGCCCACCGCATCACCCCTGTTCTCATACCTCCCGCGCTGTGTCTGCGGCGTCACCACATGCACGCACCTCCCAGCCACATCTGGGCGTTACCCACATGAGTGTACCTTCACTGCCACTGCGGCGGAGGCAGCACGCTCGGGTACCTCAGAGGGCCGCCTGGGGTGCCTGCGCGTATTCTGACCCATGTCAATGCCAGTGCGATGGCTACTTTCACTGCCAGCTCCACCCAGCTGCCTCGCCCAGTCACGTCTCCAGTGCTTGGCTGGATGGCCCTCTGAAGGGGTTGACACGTGGCCAACATGTAAGCCCACCACTTGCCTGTCAGTTTGTCACGCCGTGGGAGCAATGCTGCCCGTAATTGAAATGACCACCCAAGGTGGACAGGTTCCAGCGGAGCTTCCCAACAAAGAACCGACTAGGAAGATGGACTCAGCTGCCCAGGTCTGAGGGACTGGCCACAGCCAATCTCACGACCAGCCCTGGAACACAGTGAGACAGCATGCCGGAAACAAGCCACTCCAAACAGGACAGAGGGAGAGTTGCCTTCCGGAAGCTGAGTGGCCACGGGGACGTGGGTGGAGTGAGCCCCAGGATCTTCCTGTGCTGGCGAGTCCCCACTCAAAGTGAGAAGGAACAGCCGCAACATCCATCAGTGATCAGAGCAGGAAATGGACCGAGTTCGAATTGAGGAAAATTGGAAGTCGTCCAAAACTGAAATGGCTCACGTGGAGATGGACATGCTCACTAAATGGACATGCTCGGCATTCGTGAGCTGCACAGGCTGGTGTTGGCCACTTTGATCAGATGGTTCATGCTTGACGGTGTGGGAGGGACACATTGTCAGAAAGAGCACAGTGCTGTCTGTGATGGGATAATATCTATCCACATACAAGAAAACCCAGTCAGTACAACTTGTTCATAGCTACACCCCAACCACTAAAGCTGGGGATGAAGAAATAGGAGAATTCTGCCAGCTTCTTCACTCTGAAATGGATCAAACATGCAATCAAGATGCATTGATAATTATTGACAATTGTAATGCAAAAGTTGGAAACAAAAAAGAAGGATCAGTAGTTGGAAAATGCATCCTTAGTGACAGAAACAAAACTGGAGGTTGTGTGGTAGAATTTTTGCAAGACCAATGACTTCATTGCAAATATCTTTTTTTAAATAACATAAGCAGTGACTAGACACATGGACACACGGGCATCAAACTGACTCCATCTGTGGAAGAGATGAAGCTCAACACCAGCAGCCCAAACAAGGCCAGGGCTGACAGGCACACACCATCGATTGCCAAATCAAGTTCAAGTTGAAGCTGGCGAAAACCATGGAAACCAAAATACAGCCTTGGGTCTATCCCACCAGAATTCTGAGAACTTCTCAAGAATAGATTTGATGCATTGACCACTAACGACAGAAGACTAGCTGTGGGAGGGCATCAAAAGGCCATTAAGAGACGGGAACGAAGACACCGATCAAAGTAGATGTCAGAAGAGATGCTGACACTTGCTCTTAAGAAGAACTGGTGGAAAGAACTGAAGATTTTCAAGGACAGCTCAAGAAGACAAAGGATTGTAATGACATTTGCAAAGACCCAGAGTCAGAAAAACAAAAAGTTAGAACATGCTCAGCATAGCTCAAGTTGAAGTGCAGGAAATTCCAATTTCTCATTGAAATATGCAACATTCTACGGGGGAAATGTTAAATGATGCAGGAAGGGTCAAAAGAAGATGGAAAGACTACACGGAGTCACTGCCCCAAAAGGAACGAGGCGACATGTAACCATTTCAGGAGCCAGAATATAAGCAGGAACGGATGGTACTGAAGGCAGAGCTCAAACTGCATCAGCTGAGAGATCAAGCGGAAAGCATTAGCAAAATCCAAAAAGATGGCACCAGGGATGGATGGAACATCCGCCGAAACAGTCAACAAGCTGGTGAAGCACAAGAAGCACTCACTCGCCAGTGCCAAGAAATTTGGAAGATGGCTACGCAGCAAACTGGCTGGTAGAGATCCATATTTGTGCCCGTTCCCAAGAAAGGAGACCCAAGAGACTGTAGAAATGATTGGACAAAATCATTGTATCAGGCACAAGCAAAAATTTGCTGAACATAATTCAAAATCACTTCCGGAGGGCATCAAGAGGGAGCAGCCAGAAATCTGAACTGGATTCAGAAGAGCAGGAGAAACACCCCTGCTGACAGCAGACGAGTCTTGGCACAAAGCAGAGAACACCCAAAGGACGCTCCTTGTGTTTCCTTGAGGAGCCTGGTGGTGTGGTGGTTGTGACCTGGCCTGTGAGCTGCATGGTCGGCAGTTTGAAACCAGCAGCAGCTCTGAGGAAGAAAGGCTGGGCTCTCTACTCCCGTGGCCAGTTACAGTTGACTCGACACCAGTTTGGTTTTCGGCTTCGTGCTTTATTGTCTATGCAAAAGCATCTGACTGCGTGGTTCATAACAAACTATGGTTAATATCCGGAAGAACGGGAATCCAGACACGTCATTGTGTTCCGGTGGGACCTGTCCACAGACCAAGGAGCAGTCAGTTGAGATCAGACTGTGGGCAGGGAGAGGGAGGGAGGAGGGGAAAGTTGCCATTTCAGCAAAAGATCAATTGAGGGGAAAAAAAACTAAAATAAAATAAAAAATGTGAACCATGGTTGTATTCTTTTGCCAAACTTGTTCAATCTGACTGTAGAGCAAACAATCATGGAAGCTGGGCTATAAGAAGGCGGCGGCATCAGGATTGGAGGAAGACCCCAATCCTTACCTGCAACATGCAGGTTACACGACCTTGCTTGCTGAAAGCCAAGAGGCCTGGAAGGATTTTCTGGAGGCGCAAAGAACCCCGCGTTCAGCGTGGATCACAGCCCTCCATCCTCCGACTGAGGCACCACAGGGTGAAGAAGCACAGCAAGCCATCGAGGCCATCACTGGGTCCACAAGGGGCGATTACATGCACAGGCTGAAGGCGCCAACTGCGCGTTTTTCAGAGTTGTGCTTCCAGGTGAGCAACCAGTCAGCGGAGAAGGGACTGGGACTCCCCCAGACAACCGGCCCCCGGGCCCTCAGCACGTTGCCTTTCTTCCGAAACAAAGTGGCCCCGACAATGTCCGTGCCGCTCCCATGATCATAAAACCCTAGTCGCTGTCCAAAAGAAGACCAGTAGACAACATCACAATAAACCGAGGGCGCACATACCAGCCGGCGGATGTCCCGCTCGCTCTCCCTCTGCCCCTTATGAGATGGACGGACCCGTGGATGCACCTACAGTGAGTGTGGCATCACCACACACACACGTCGTCCACATGAGTGTGCCTCCCTGCCACCTTCATTTTCACCATCATCACCCTCCCCGCCACCACCATTGTCACCATCATCGTCACCCTTATCATCCCCACCACCATCTGCTGCAGCCGCACGCGCTCGCCGTCGAAGGCCCTGCGCGCCTCCTCGCGCGCCTCAGCCAGCAGCGCCGCCTTGACCTTGTCGGCCGCGCCGTCCCGCAGCAAGCTCAGCGTGGACTGCAGCCGCTGCAGCTCGCCCTCGCGCAGCTTGGCGGCGCGCGCCGTCTCCTGCTCGCGCTGCCGGATGAGCGCCTCGCGCAGCGCCTGCAGCTCCCGCGTCTTCTCCTCGTGCAGCTTGGCGCGCAGCTCCGACAGGAAGGCTGTGTGGCGCCGCTGCTCCTGCTCGCGCTCCAGCCGCGCCTCCTGCAGCCGCTCCCGCAGCTTCCCCACCTGCGGGTGGGGGACCAGGGGGGCCTTCAGGGGGCGGGGGCGAGAGCAGGGTGCCAGGCCTAGGGGCCGAGTGGATCAGAGGTCAAGGGCTGAGCAGGGTGGCATCTGGGGGATGGGGCAAGGGCAGAGCTAGGGGCTAGGATAAGGTCAAGAGTCACATTGAGTCAGGACCATGGGGCAGGGCAGCCTGGGGGGGGAGGCAGGGTTAGGGACCTGGTCAGCTGAGAAGGTGAAGTAGGGACTGGGGGGGAGGGAGCGGTCATCAAGGTCCTGTGCAAGGCAGGGGTTAGGGGTGGGGTCATTATTGGGGTCAGGGTAAAGTCGGGTCAGTGGTGGTCTGTCCCTGACAGCCTATTGCTTCCCACACCCCTGCCTCTTCCAGGCCCTTCCTGCGGTGTACACCCAGAATCTCCCCCACTATATTCTGAAGGTTTCCTACAAAACCATCTGTTATCTTAACTGAATGAAAGGCATGTGGTTTGTTCATCACTAACAGAACAAACATGAAGAAATAGATTCAACATACAACTAAGATGCCTGACTGTCCCAGGGGATGGGGGTGGGGATGGGAGGAGGTTCTGGGGCTCAGCTCCCGATGGGATGGGGACACCACCTGCAGGGGCCCCTCTGGGAGTCTAACCCACCACCAGCCAGACCCCAGCTGTGTGGACTACCAGGAGCACACCCAAGCTGCACACCCTCTCCTGCCCAGCCCAGGTGGGTCCCCAGCCTTGCCACAGAACCCCAGGGGACAAGCACCAACTGGGACACCAACGGTGTGCTGACAGCCTCACCGAGTGGGGCTGTCTCTAACTGGACACTGTGGCATTGACTGCCCAAAGTCGACTGCCTGCGGGGTGGCCATAGCACCCCCGCTCTAAACCCTGGTATACCTGTCTCAAGTGAGGGGACACGTGGGGCGGACCCAAACTGGCCAGTCTTTGTAACCCTGAGGACAGCGCATCTCAAGGAGGGGTCAGCAGAGGCCCAGCCATGCTGACCAGGTCCAAGCCCAGCCCCCACTTCAGAGCCAGCCCCGCCTGCGGGTCCAGGCCTGCGCCCAGGGTGCCCAGCCCGCTGCCCGCACCTTGCTCTTCTCCTGCTGGAACTCCGTCTGGAGGCTGGCCAGCCGGGCCCGCAGCTCCTCGCTGGACGCCTGCGTGATATCCGGCTCCATCTCAGGTTTCTCGCCCTTGCTCCGGCCTTTCTTCGACATGCTTCCTCTCAGGGAGGGGCCACGTCCTGCCGGTGTGGGGACAGCTCCGCTGCTAACCAGTGACACCGGCCTCCGCTGGTGCCGTCGTCCCCATGTCGACCCCCATCACTTGAGACCCTGGGGAGGAAGCGAGCCATCGGCGAGGCAGGCCGCGTGACCCGCCTGGGGCACGAAGCACGGTGTGCTGTGGGCCTCCCTTGGCACCGGCAGCGCCTGGAGCTCCAGCGGGGCGGCGCTGAGAGGGGGAGCCCACACCACCCTCCCGGTCTGCGGGTCTCTGTCAGCCTGGGTCCCAGGCAGAGCGAGAGGGGCCTGTGATTTCCCATCACCCTGAGGGGTTCTAGGGACTGCCTCTGAGGAATGGGCTCCTAGAGGCCAGCAGAGCTCCACCCCCGCAGGCAGCACACCCAGGGTGCCCCACACCGTGGCCCCGCCCAGCTTCCGAGGCCACCTGCCTAGTGGGAAGGGCCTGACAGCGACTGGCGATGCTGCCAGCTGCATAAGCAGGCCTCCGAGTAAGCGCAGGCCTTGGGTCAAACTCTGACTCCAAACAGACCGTGTTCACTTCTAAGCTGGGGAGGCCTCCGACCCCTGGCACATACAACACTCCTGGGGACTTTATCCCAGGGAAACGCCCCGTGGGAACGCCGTGCTTAATGATGTTGACCGCATAGCTGCTGGCAATGGAAACCTGGAAACCACCTCACACTCAAAGCACCCACTCC